AACAAGGCAAGTGGCGAATCCGGAGTTTGCTTTTGATAAAAGAATCCACGCTTAGCCTGAGAAACCGCCGACCGATTTCGATTCAACGCGCTTGAATGACTTGCAAAGCAGGCCGCCAACGAGATCGACGGCGTCTAACGCTGTGAAAGGCCGCGCTAACGGCCGTCAGCGGGTAGGGTGGACGTACGGCCATTGGGGAGACAAGCATGGTAAGTTACCATCCCCAGCCTCCGCCGCAACCCACACCGCCGCCCCAGCCCCAACCGCCTCCCCAGCCAGCGCCGCCACATCCCCACGGACGGCCCCAGCCACCTCCCCAGCCCCACGGACTTCCTCCCCAGCCCCACTCCTTCTTGTCCTTCGGCTCGCCTGCCGTCGGCTGCGCGTCCGTGGCCTCCGCCGGTCCGGTTGCGGTGGCGACGACAGTCCCGACCTTGGGAGCGTCAGCCAGAGCTCGAAGCGCGGGCGATTCGGCAGCAACGACGCCCGCGGTGGCGAGCACTGCTGCGACGGCAATGGTGGTGCACTTCATGTTGCTGCTTGGGTACTTGCTAGCTTGGTGTCGAGGAGGCAAGTTGCGGTATGGTGAATGACACCACGGGTGCGGCCGAACGTCGGTCCAAGGGGTCAGCACACGTTGGCTCCGCGCGGAGATTTCCGTCGAAATCGGCCCCTTTCCGCATCAATCAGGAGATTTTTCGTCTTGCAGGCGATTCAGAGGATCGCATGCTTCGATTAAAGTTAGTCGATGAGAGTGCTACGAATTCGAGGGAGTATTCGATCGGCTGGGCACTCTGTAGCGGTGTTTTTATTGATTTTGCTTACCGTTTTGTCCGTTTGTTTGTCTAGAGAATAAACTGCTGTGAGAATTTTCGGGTGACTCATTGCTTGCACACACAAACAATGTGAATGCATAAAGTACATGTGCAGCATGCGCGTGTATGAAGTATGGCATTCGCCTAGCGCGGAGTGGTTCCAACCAAAATAGTGAAACCCAACATTCAGGCGCTATGTTGCGTCGCCTTCATTTTCTGAACTATTTTCAGGGCGCATGTAATAGTTTACTTTCAAAATAGGAGTGAAAAATACTTTCAAAACAACAGGAAGCACGGGTGAAAACATCCAAAGTCGACAAACCAACAAAGGCAAGTGGCGAATCCGGAGTTTGCTTTTGATTAAAAGAATCCACGCTTAGCCTGAGAAACCGCCGACCGATTTCGATTCAACGCGCTTGAATGACTTGCAAAGCAGGCCGCCAACGAGATCGACGGCGTCTAACGCTGTGAAAGGCCGCGCTAACGGCCTTCAGCGGGTACGGTGGACGTACGGCCATTGGGGAGACAAGCATGGTAAGTTACCATCCCCAGCCTCCGCCGCAACCCGCACCGCCGCCCCAGCCCCAACCGCCTCCCCAGCCAGCGCCGCCACATCCCCACGGACGGCCCCAGCCACCTCCCCAGCCCCACGGACTTCCTCCCCAGCCCCACTCCTTCTTGTCCTTCGGCTCGCCTGCCGTCGGCTGCGCGTCCGTGGCCTCCGCCGGTCCGGTTGCGGTGGCGACGACAGTCCCGACCTTGGGAGCGTCAGCCAGAGCTCGAAGCGCGGGCGATTCGGCAGCAACGACGCCCGCGGTGGCGAGCACTGCTGCGACGGCAATGGTGGTGCACTTCATGTTGCTGCTTGGGTACTTGCTAGCTTGGTGTCGAGGAGGCAAGTTGCGGTATGGTGAATGACACCACGGGTGCGGCCGAACGTCGGTCCAAGGGGTCAGCACACGTTGGCTCCGCGCGGAGATTTCCGTCGAAATCGGCCCCTTTCCGCATCAATCAGGAGATTTTTCGTCTTGCAGGCGATTCAGAGGATCGCATGCTTCGATTAAAGTTAGTCGATGAGAGTGCTACGAATTCGAGGGAGTATTCGATCGGCTGGGCACTCTGTAGCGGTGTTTTTATTGATTTTGCTTACCGTTTTGTCCGTTTGTTTGTCTAGAGAATAAACTGCTGTGAGAATTTTCGGGTGACTCATTGCTTGCACACACAAACAATGTGAATGCATAAAGTACATGTGCAGCATGCGCGTGTATGAAGTATGGCATTCGCCTAGCGCGGAGTGGTTCCAACCAAAATAGTGAAACCCAACATTCAGGCGCTATGTTGCGTCGCCTTCATTTTCTGAACTATTTTCAGGGCGCATGTAATAGTTTACTTTCAAAATAGGAGTGAAAAATACTTTCAAAACAACAGGAAGCACGGGTGAAACACAAACGAGACATCCAAAGTCGACAAACCAACAAAGGCAAGTGGCGAATCCGGAGTTTGCTTTTGATTAAAAGAATCCACGCTTAGCCTGAGAAACCGCCGACCGATTTCGATTCAACGCGCTTGAATGACTTGCAAAGCAGGCCGCCAACGAGATCGACGGCGTCTAACGCTGTGAAAGGCCGCGCTAACGGCCGTCAGCGGGTAGGGTGGACGTACGGCCATTGGGGAGACAAGCATGGTAAGTTACCATCCCCAGCCTCCGCCGCAACCCACACCGCCGCCCCA